TATATATATATATATATATATATATATATATATATATATATATATATATTATATTAAAATTTGGTTTTTATTATATATATATATTATATATTAAAAATGGTTTTATATATATATATATATATATATATATATATATATATATATATATATATATATATATATATATATATATATATATGGTTTTTATTATATATATATATATTATATATTAAAAATGGTTTTATATATATATATATATATATATATATATATATATATATATATATATAACCATTTTTAATATATAATATATATATATAATAAAAACCAAATTTTAATATAATATATATATATATATATATATATATATATATATATATATTATATTAAAATTTGGTTTTTATTATATATATATATATTATATTAAAAATGGTTATATATATATATATATATATATATATTAATATATATATATATATATATATATATATATATATATATAAAACCATTTTTAATATATAATATATATATATAATAAAAACCAAATTAAAACCAAATTTTATATTATATATTATATAATATATTAAAACCAAATTTTAATATAATATATATATATATATATATATATTATATTAAAATTTGGTTTTTATTATATATATATATTATATATTAAAAATGGTTTTATATATATATATTAATATATATATATATATATATATATATATATATTTGGTTTTTATTATATATATATATTATATATTAAAAATGGTTTTATATATATATATATATATATATATATATATTAATATATATGTATATATATATATATATATATATATATATATATATATATATATATATACACGTACGTACCTTGCAGGAGAGGCGGCGAGCGGCGACGATATTGGGCGACGGCAAGGATGACGGCTTAGGGCGACGGCGAGCGAGGCAGAGGCCGAAGACGACGGCACTGTTGCGAGCGAGGCCGAGGACGACGTCGACGTGCGGCGAGCGAGGCCGAGGACGAAGTCGACGTGCGGCGAGCGAGGCCGAGGACGAAGTTGACGTGCGGCGAGCGAGGCAGTGGACGACGGCTTAGGCGGCTGTGGAGAGCATCGGTGGCGTAGGGCGTTCGGCGGCGGTGGCGTAGGGCGTTTGGAGCAGATGAGTGAGGAGTGAAATGTTGAGTGTGAAATGTTTGGGTGCCGATCTGAAAAGTTCTAGCTAGCTAGCTTCATTATATTTTTTTTTTAATTTATGTATACGGCGTCGGCGTTATACGACGCCGACGCCGTATACCATTTAAATATTTTTATTTTAATTATTGGAGATACGGCGTCGGAGATTAATTCTTCGACGCCGTATCTACTATTTATTTTTTATTTTTTTTTAAAAAATTCGAGTATACGGCGTCGGCGATATACGTCGCCGACGCCGTATACCATTTTAATTTTTTTTTTTTTAATTATACGATACGGCGTCGGAGATTTAACTCCGACGCCGTATCTCCTATTTATTATTTCTTTTTTTTTTAATTTGAGTATACGGCGTTGGCGTTATACGTCGCCGACGCCGTATACCATTTTTTTTTTAATTATTAGAGATACGGCGTCGGAGATTAATTCTCCGACGCCGTATCTACTATTTATTTTTTTTTTTTTAAATTCGAGTATACGGCGTCGGCGATATACGTCGCCGACGCCGTATACCATATATATATATTTTTTTTTTTTATTTGAGATACGGCGTCGGCAACGTATAACGCTGACGTCGTATCTCGTATTTATTTTTTATTTAATATACGGCATCGGCCATACCAAATAACCGACGTCATATGTATTTTTTTAAAAAATAAAAAATAATTTTAAATATTTAACGTCGGATTTTCAAAAAATCGACGTTATAATGTAGACGTTAAATCCGTTTTCTGTAGTAGTGGTAATAGAACTCTGCGCCCACGTGCACGGTATACAATCGTTATACCCTACACCACGGCGCGCGTAGCACTATGCGCCGCGCGCCTCCCAAAAGGACGTCGTTTTGGGATCGTTTTGGGAGGCGCGGTAGGAAGTTGCTGTGCTTATGTGTATTTGTTCACACAATTATGTGTATTTGTTCATACAGTTATGTACATTTTTTATACAATTATGTACATTCTTTTTATACAATTATGTACATCCGAATCAGAAAATTTGTGTGTATTATGTTAAGAGTTGATGTGTATTATGTTAAAAGTTTATGTTTATTATGTATTATGTTAGATTATGTGTATTATCTTTTAAAAAGAGTATGTATATTTTGTTATATAATTACGTACATTTATGTATACAATTATGTGTATTCTAGTATAACATTATGTACATTTTTGAATAACGAGTTTTTTTTTAAAGAAAAAATTACTGTCATTCATTGGGGCAGAAAATTTCAAATTTTTTTTTTTAAAACGACGTTGTTTTGCATCTGGGCACACAGAACAACGCGCGCCATGGTGTAGGATATAAATTGCCCACGGTATAAGGATTGCTAAAATTGTGAATAAAAAAGTCAATCCCTTGGGCCTTGGGCCTTGGGCATAGAGCTAGCGCAGACAATTGTGCCAGAAAAGCCCAAATCATAATGTAATGTCGGCCTAAGTTCCATCATTTCGTATTCTGTTACTAGAACATTGCAGAAGGATGGAAATGGAACATTATATTACGGAGTATATTGTAGAACCTTCTGTTACAGATGCTTCATGAATGTTCCGGCATGCATCATCTTCTCTCATATATAAACACCGTTCGTGTTCCTCCATTTATGCATCAAAACTGAAGAACTTCAAGCATTCCTCATTGTATTCACACTCAGCTATTACCCCAAGAATTCTCAGCTCATTCAATCAAGAAAATGTCTTTGATTCCAAGCATCTTTGGAGCTCGCCGGAGCAACATCTTCGACCCCTTTTCTCTAGACTTGTGGGATCCTTTTGAAGGGTTCCCGTTTTCCAGCGCCGTCGCTAATGCCCCCGGCGGCTCTGCAGGGGAAACATCGGCCTTTGCAAACGCCCGTATTGACTGGAAGGAGACGCCGGAGGCTCACGTGTTCAAGGCGGATCTGCCGGGGCTGAAGAAGGAGGAGGTGAAGGTGGAAGTTGAGGAAGGGAGAGTTTTGCAGATCAGTGGAGAGAGGAGCAGAGAGGAGGAGGAGAAGAACGAGAAATGGCACCGTGTGGAGCGGAGCAGCGGTAAGTTTCTAAGGAGGTTTCGGTTGCCGGAGAATGCGAAGATGGATGAGGTGAAAGCTTCCATGGAGAATGGAGTGCTCACTGTCACTGTTCCCAAACTGGAAGTTAAGAAACCCGAAATCAAAGCCATTGACATCTCTGCTTAAACCTCTGATTTCGTGTGTGTTGAAATTTTGAATAATCAAATGTTGAACCAATGCTGTGTATTTACTATTAAGAAAATGTGTGCTTAAAATGATGTGAGTATTGTTTATATGTAAAGTTTCACCGTCGCATCTTAACTATAATAAAGCTATATGGTTTGGGAAGTAATTAATATTACAATTAATGTCACAACATCTTTTATTATTAAAAAACAAAAACAAAAAAAATCACAACATTTGAAAAATAAAATAGCTATATATTATATAATCATATAAAAAAATATACTTAAGTTAGTATTTGATGAAAAAAAAAATATTGTGAGTATAATTGTAGACATAGCACTCTCTACCCTGGTATCTAGGGTTTCTCCATCTTCCTACCTTGGTATCTAGGGTTTTCCGTTTTCTTGAGGCAAACGATCATCGGCGATTGCCTTTGATTCTTGTTCGACGTCAACATGGACATTCAGGATCTTGTCGACACTACGGCGAATATTACACTGGAGGAAGAAGACCTTGGCGTGCGATTTGAGGAAGAACCGGCGGGCGGAATTGATCAAGCAGCAGGTCATCGGACATGGTCGATAGTTGGACGCTTCTTAACTGATAGGCCGATCAAGAGTGAGATGATGAAGAGGGTTCTGGCCTCGGTATGGCGTCCACTGATGGGCATCGAGGTGACGGATGTGCAGCCGAATCTCTACCTATTCACCTTCTTTGATGAAGCGGATAGACTACGTGTTTTGGAGGAGGGTCCGTGGGCCTTCGAAAACGCTACTCTGATTTGCCAACCTTTGCATGGTGATGACAACTCGGCGCTGGCTGCATTGAACTCGTTAGACTTGTGGGTGCAAGTGTTTGATCTTCCTATAGGCTACCGTATAGAGAAGGTATTGGAAAAGGTTGGTGACTTTGTTGGGATATACTTGCGGGTCGATGATCAGAATTTTACTAGACCATGGGCTACCTTCTACCGAGTTCGGGTTAGGCATGATGTGGCTATGCCCTTGAAACGCCGCATGAAGATGATTCTCCGGGATGGCTTGTGGCTGTGGGTAAACTTTAAATATGAGCGTTTACATATGTTTTGCTATTTTTTTGGCAAGTTGGGGCACACGGACAAGTTCTGTCTTGATGCGAGACGATCAACACTCAGGCCCGAGCAGTATTTGTATGGTCCGGCTTTGAAGGCGGGGGGTATGAGTCCGGCCAAGGTTCTAGGGGATCGGTGGTTTCAACTGGGACAGGAGCGTCGACGTGAGATAGGGTATGGCGGGGTGCCAGGTGGAGGTTTACGGCCAGTCGGGACTGCCGAGGCGGTAATTGGTGAGGTGGCGCGTCCGGACGCTGGGGGCAATCTGGGAGGGGTTAGACGTCCAGTGGGGGTTTCGGGAAGTAGGGCTGGGGCGGAGGAGGGGGTTAGGGTGGATCCAAAGCGGCGTAGGGGGGCTGACGGGGCTGTGGTGGAGGTGGATGGAGGCATGCAGGTGGAGTTATCATCTTCTTTTTTTGTGGGACCTGGGGACCAGGCCCGCCGTTCCCAATGAGTACCTTGTTTTGGAACTGCCGTGGCTTGGGCAATCCACGGACGGTTCGAGAAGTAGTGGACCTTGTGTCCAAAAGGAAGCCGGATTTTGTTTTTTTTGATGGAGACGATGGTAGATGGTAGTCATGCTGAGAGGTTGCGAGTGAAGCTGGGTTTTGAGGGGTGTTTTAAGGTTGACAGTCATGGTCCTAAGGGGGGGGGCCTGTGTTTTCTATGGGCAAAGAATAACTATGCTAGCTTGATCAGTTTTACCGATAATCATATTGATTTGTTGGTGTCGCTGCCCGGAAGACCGCAATGGTGGCTCACGTGTTATTATGGCTATGCTCAGAGAAATAGGAGAAGGGCGTAATGGGATTATTTGAGGCCACTTAAAGGGGTTTATGTGGTACCGTGGGTGGTTCTGGGGGATTTTAATGATATATTGGCCCAATCAGAGAAGAGGGGTAGATTGCCGCATCCGAATGGTTTGATTGAAGGTTTCAGTGACGCCCTGGGGGACTGTGGTTTGGTGTCTCTTCCCATGATTGGCTATCCTTTCACTTGGGATAGGGGCAAGGGTACTGTGGACTGGGTGGAGGAGCGGCTGGATAGGGTGGTGGCTTGCATGGATTGGCTGGGTCTGTATGATAGGGCGAGGGTGTACAATATCCGTACGGACTCGTCGGATCATTCGGCTCTCTTCATGGATATCTATGGTTTAGTACATGTTGCAAGGCCATGTAGTTTTCGCTTTGAGAATGCGTGGCTATTGGATGAGGGTTGCAGGGGGGTGGTGGAGCACGAGTGGGCCAGCTCACAGGGCTTGAATATGCAGGCGAGGCTTGTTCGGTGTGGAAAGGGCCTGAAAGCATGGGGGGGGGGGGTGATCGGCATCATAAGTTTGGAAAGCGGATTAGTGTGCTACGGAAGGAGATGGATATGTTGCGAGGTAGTCGTGATCCTGCATCATTGGCCCGGTTTGCATGGCTAGACAGCAGTCTAAATTTAGCCCTATCCCATGAGGAGGCGTTTTGGAGGCAGCGTGCTAAGCAGCACTGGCTGTGTGGGGCAGATCGTAATACCAAGTACTTCCATAAGTATGCGTCACACCGGAAAAAGAAGAACTTTGTTGAAAAGCTAAAGAATGATAACGGGGTATGGCAGGAGGGTCAGGCTTTGGAATCACTGGTTACTTCTTACTATAAGCAGATCTTTGCTTCAGGGGGTTCCCCGGGGAATTTCAGAGTGGATTCATTGCAAACACGTGTGACTGAAGCACATAATGCACAGTTATTGCGCCCCTTTGAGCCGGAGGAGGTGCGGGCTGCGTTGTTTTCTATGGGCAAAGATAAATCTCCTGGTCCGGATGACATGAATCCGGGTTTCTACCAAGCTTTCTGGGATGTTATTGGTAAGGATATCACTTCCTTTCTTCTTAATTGCCTATCCCAGTCAACTTTTCCTGATTGCTTGAATGATGCAAACATTGTTTTGATTCCGAAAAAATGTGTTCCTGAGCATGTTTCTGATTTACGCCTGATCGGCTTATGCAATGTTATATATAAGATCATGACTAAGATGTTAGCAAATCGTATGAAACCCCTATTAGAAGATATTATATCGGATTCACAAAGTGCGTTCCTTCCGGGTAGGTTGATCTCGGACAATATACTGATTGCTTCTGAGGTTGGACATTACTTGAGGAGGAAGCAGTTAGGCCAGGTAGGGTGGGCTGCTCTAAAACTTGATATGGCAAAGGCATACGATAGGATGGAGTGGTCATTTGTGAGTGATATGCTTGTTGGTCTGGGCTTTGATGCTAAATGGGTACAGTTGATTATGTTGTGTATCCAAACCGTGCGATACAGGGTTTTGATTAATGGCAGACCTACGGAGGAGATCGTGCCTACTAGGGGATTACGACAAGGGGATCCCTTGTCACCTTATCTCTTCATAATCTGTGCAGAAGGTCTATCTTTGCTTTTGCAGGACTCACAATCAAAAGGGCTTATTCATGGATGTAGAGTGGCCCAGGGGGCACCACCGATCTCACATTTGTTTTTTTTGCAGATGACAGCTTGCTCTTCTTTAAAGCTAATCTGCAGGAAGAATTGGAAGTTAAAAGATGTTTGGGGGTTTATGAGTCCTTCTCTGGCCAAGCGGTGAATTTCCACAAATCGAGCATTTCATTCAGCCGAAATACACATGCAGAGATGCGGGATCTTGTGTCAGGAGTTTTGACTGTTTCTCAGGCGGAGGATTTTGGGAAATACCTGGGTTTGCCTTCCGTTGTGGGCAGGAATAGGAGGGCGGTTTTTGCTTTCATTGGGATTTTTGAATTCGGACCCATCACCTGTATGGAATAATATTTGGAAGCTGCAGGTTCCCCCCAAATGGAAGGTGTTCCTATGGAGAGCACTTTTGAATATATTGCCCACCCTTGATAATTTGATTATTAGGAGGGTCGATATTATTAATATATGCCCGTGTTGTGGTCTGTTTGAGGAGTGTGTTATGCATGTTTTTTGCTCGTGTCCATTTTCAATTAATGTTTGGCAACTTTCTCAGATTCAAATTCCCCCGTTTGCTAACAGGAATTTTTTTCAATGGACGGAGGAGTGGCTTGGCGGCTCATCCGGGTATACTCGAGAGCTACAAGGCAGAATATGTGGCATTCTCCATAGCGTCTGGGTTGCTAGAAACACGGCTGTTTGGGAGTATGTTGTTCCACGGCCGGCTTTGCTCCTGGGGCGGCATGCGGCTCAGTGGATTGCGTGGATGGATAGTCAGCAGACCAGTGGAAGCAATAACACCAGCAGAGTCGTTTCATTGCATGCACAAAGTAGTATCCCACCACCCTCTTTCAAATGTTACATTGATGTCGGCTTTCACGGCTCTCAGCATGCAGCGGCGTATGGTTTTGTTGTCTATGATAGTGATTCCTCCTTCGTGGCAGCAGGTAATGGTCCCTTGCCGTGTCCGTATGATCCCCTCTTGGCGGAAGCTATGGCAATGTGTGAAGCCCTCTCTTGGTTGAAGAATAACGGGTACTCAGGTGGCAGAATCTATTCTGACTCAGCAGTTTTGGTTTCGAGTCTTACACATGCTAGTTCGTTTCGTAACTATTTTAGTTTCATTCTTTTATCTTGTACTCGGCTACTTAATGTTTTACCAGGTTCCGAGGTTCTATTTGTTAATAGGGAGGCCAATCATGTGGCACATTCCTTATCTAAGCATACATCTGCTGTAGCAGGAAGAACACTCTGGAGGGATACACCTCCTTCTTTTATTGAGCCCTTGGTGGCAAATGCAATCTGATTCATTTGGTTTTCAAATATATATATATATATATATATATATATATATATATATATATATAAAATGTACTTTTGAAAAATAAAATAGTTATATATTATATAATCATATAAAAATGTGTTCAATTAGAGTTTAAATTTACTCATACAAAATTTGAAATTTGTTTTCCAAATGTAATTATCTTAGTTATTATTCGTATTGTGAAAATTATTATATAGATGAAATACAATTAAGAATAAATCAATGTAATTATGTAAATTCTCTCTATAAGTTTATTTGAATATGCACATAATTAGAGATTATATTAACCATACAAAATTTTAATTTTAATTTTAGTTGTAATTTTTTATTCTATAAAAATAATAAATACTTGACCAATGGAAGTTCAAAAATATTATTATATTAAACAATTTAAAATATTTTAGTTTTTCTATTTTTTATTTATATTTATAATAAGATAATTTTTTTCCGTGCATCGCACGGGTGAATTACTAGTTATATATAATAGAGTGTTATGGAACAAAGTTTCTCTATGCATCATGGATCAAAACCACTAGTATTACTTTTAGCTGGTTTGTCAATGCTAATAGAACTTTAGGCTCATCCCATTTCATCCTGGAAATTACTTACTACGTTAGTAAGTTATTTGTGTAACTTACTAAAAGATTAATTTTATTTAACACTTTTAAGTCTCATATATATATTTAGCCGGGGCGTGTATTTAAAACACTCAACGAAGGTATTCAATGCTATATCAACTACGCTCGAATCAGCGGGTTTGATGTCCGCCAGAGTTTCGTGAAGCGCGACCGAGACAGCGAAATCTACTCACGCTATTTGGTGTGTAGTCGGCAAGGGGTGAAAGGTGGTGGTAATATACCTCGCAGTTATGAGCGGGTACTAGGTGGGAGAGAGAAGCGGGAGCGGCGCTGTCGTCTTTCTAATAGAGTTAATTGCGGAGCCAGGATCGGCTTTACGAAAAAAAGCTCCGGCGAGTTCAAAGTGTCCGTTTTGGTTGAGGAACACACCCACAAGCTATGCTCGGAGCCATCCAAAGTTTTTTATGCGAATTAACCGACGTCTCGATGTGGTCCAACAAGCTTTTTTAAGTAATTGTGTGATACCCCGGTTATTTGAGTATTTTGTTATAAATATTATTATTCTAAATAAAATTTTATAAAATAGATATTATGTTAAATAAAATATTTTTACTATATGGTCTGTAATTATATTATTTTATGTGACCCAAAACTATTTAAACTAGTCTACTACTGCTACTCTTTTATTTCTAAACGGTGTATTATGGCTAATAATTATTTATTTATATATGTGTTACGTATGTATATATGTTAAGTGCTAGTAGGCTAATAAGTATATTAATATTATATTAAGTTTTTAGGTATTGTAGTCTCCTACAACTAGAATTATTATTTATAATACAATTTATTAGTTAAGTGTTTAAGTAGTAGTCATATTGTTCCAGATAACCTAATTCAATATATTTTTCTATCTCTCTCTGTCGACAATCCCTCCTTTCTCCCAAACAAAAATAAAACCCTAGCAGTTTCTTCTTATCAATTAATTTCAAGAATTAGATGTCAAGATCATCAAGCTTAGGTGATTGCTTTTGGGCATTATTAGAGGTAAGATTTATGTTCACTAAAATCCTTTTACCCCAAATCAAAAATTGATTTTTCTAATTGTTTATGTGATTCATGATTTTAATGAATTTGTGATAATTAACGTGGGAAGTTATTTTATTATATTGTGTGAGTAGACATGTGCGTTTAGATGTTTTGGAATCCCTGAATATGTGATATGGTGATTTTATGGTGATTTAAAAGGAAAAATTGTACTCAATCTGAATATTGCCTGAGAAAATTCTAACTGGCGCAGCTGGAAAGAAAATTTCGTGAAAATTGCTTCCTAAACTTCTTTTTATGGAGAACCTAGACTTGTTATAATTGATGTTTGTAAAAATTTTTGGTTAAAAATATGTTTCGATTTTTCCTGAAAAATTTCGTAAAGTGGAGGCAGTGTGCTGCCAGTTCAATGTCTGTCTGGCGCAGTGTTGGGAAATAATTCAGGAAAAATACTTTTAGACCTTGGATTGATTTGAAATTTTTTTGTATAATCTAGACTCACCGTACCTTGTATCTGGAAAATTTCATCTGAAAATGTGTTACCAATATATTTCTATAAATTTTGCAATATGGGTCATACCTTCTGAAAATTTCTGTCGGTTCCTTATTTGAGGTGTTGAGAATTTGTTTTCTTGAGAAATATCAGTAATGTTGTCACTTTTATAAAGATTGATGATAAAGGAAATTGATTCTTAAGACTTGTGTAGTATCCTGTTGTGAAATTTTGGATATTTGGGTTATGACCCAGTTTGTTGTGGAGTGAGCGGTTGAATATACCGACTCACTAGGGAGCTTAAAAACTCTCTGTTGTTTTGTGGAGTGAGCAGTAGAAACATATCTTGTCTCACTTGGACATTTAGTCCTGTTGTTTTGAGGAGTGGTTAGCGGAGTCTACCACTAGGGTATTTACCCTGTTGAATAGTAGTCAGTAGAAACGTATCCTGGCTACTAGGACTAGTTACTACCCATTGGGCTTGGAAACCCATTGGGGGTGTGCACACTTAAGATATTAGTTCTGTTCCACTTATATGGGATATTTGCGTAGTGTTCAGTTGAGTGAGTACTGTTCACTAGGGCTTATTGAATAAGACCCTGCCCATCATTTGGTTGGTTTAAATGGAATTTTTGCGTAGTGTTCAGTAGAGTGATTACTGTTCACTAGGGCTTAAGTAATTAAGACCCTGCCCATTATTTGCGATTGAATGGGATTTTGTGTAGTGTCCAGTATGGTGATTACTGTTCACTAGGGCTTGATGAAACAAGACCCTGCCCATTGCATTGGGATTGGTGTTCCTCCATGTTGGAAAAAAATATATTACTTTTGAAAGGTTCCTAATTAAATATCCATTGTGAGAACTACTGATTTGTTATTAAAAATTATGAGTATTGTTGGGAAATTATGGTTGTTGGAAATTCTGAGTATTTCATATTTGAGTTACGTTCTATATGATTATGCTCTATTGGTAATAAAAGATTAAATGTTTAAAGGGTGTATGCTATATGCCAATTATCTGCTCCTATGTGCTATGTGCAAATATGTTTTACGGGGTGAAGTAGATCTTACAAGTTTAATGCTGAATTTGTGTGTTTCTTTGTTTTCTATTCTTTAATTGTTTTTGCAGGAACTCTTGCATTAGCATTGGGCATGAGAATGAGCGAACCACCTAGAGATATCATTTATTAGTTAGACAGTTGAATTGTTAGTTGTTCATGTACTAGTTCATATATTGAGTTGTTTTAGTTAGCTGTTTTTGGCCTTAGCGTTTGTGTATAAGAGAAATTCCTGAACGTGGCGGTAGCACTCTCCGTTTCTTTTGGTTTTATTTTGCTTCCGCAATTATATATGTTTTCAACAAAAAAAAAAAAAAAAAAAAAAAGAAAATTGTACGTATTTTCGACAGTTTATGTAGTTTAAGAAATGAGGGTGTTACAAATTGTGTTAAGGCTAACATCGGTGCTTCAACATGATTGCGGTTCTGCAAAGAGGCGACCGGATCGTATGCAAATATCGGTGCAACCGACGTTGAATTCCACAATTTTAAACGGGACGTCCAAACGTACGTTGATGTAGCTAATGACGAGATGATTATTGCAACATTCAAGGCAAAGCACGAAGCTTGTAGTGACTTCTTCTTTGAATACGATCTGGATGAAGAGCACTGGGTATCGCGACAATTCTGGGCTGACCCCCTCAGTAGGTGAAAATTTTCTTGCTATGGTGACAACATTTCTTTCGATGCAACCTATGGCACGAACAGGTATGGTGCTGCAATTTGATTCCCAATCCCCATTGTTTTAATTGGTGTTTGTACTGACCTCCCGGTAATTATGTGAGTTGATATACAAATACACTAGCAACTAAATGCATAGCTTTATACGATTCTATGCACTGCACACAAATTGGTATAAAATGAAGTCCACTGTCAATTATATAGCTTATGTTAGTGGTGTTGTTTTCCCAAATCTAATTTTGAATAGGAGGGCACTAATTATCATAAACTACTATTAACTAAATAGAATACTTTATAATTTGTAATCCAAATTATATAAAATAGACTATTAACTGCCTTGCCATTGTCCAATGTGTTGTTTAGAGTTTAGTTTTAATATGATCAATGGCAAGGCAGTACTTGATTAATAAAGTAGTGATCTTGGTCAATTGTGATGTTTAGAGGTTAATTTTAATATGATGCAATGGCAAGGCAGCACTAGTATGCGCATGCACGTTAATGGAAATTTTTATTTTTTAGTTGGTTTTATTTATTTATTTATTTATTTTTGGGATGGAAATTTCACAGCTATTAGCACTGTATACATGAAACTGTTTGTTTTTTGGGCACGTCACGCATCACTTTCTATTGTGCAGGTACAGTATGGTGTTTGTGCCGTTCACTGGTGTGGACAACCACAAACGATGCATCACTTTCGGGGCCGGTTTGCTGACTAAAGAAGATGCTGACTCATACAGCTGGTTGTTGGAGAAATTTGTATGTGCAATGGGCAAGAGGCCATTGTGCGTTGTGACCGACCAAGACCTTGCTATGCAAATTGCTATAAAACGAGTATTACCAGAGTGCCGCCATCGCTACTGTATGTGGCACATCATGACAAAGGTTAATGAAAAGCTCGGTAGTGAGTTAGCTAAGGACAATGAGTTCCGCAAGAAACTACTAATGGATGACTACAATCTATCCACTCACCGATGGTTTTGCAAAATGTATGCGGAACGGGAGAGTTGGATCCCGGCTTTTTTTTTTTTTTTTTTTTCAGATTTTCCCATGAGTGGGTTGTTGCGTACCACATCACGGTCAGAAGCAGAGAATGGCGTATATGGTAAATTCACACGCCCACATTCTAGTTTGGTAGAGTTCTACATGCAATTCGAGAGCGTGTTGGGAACACAGCGCTACCGGCAAGATAAATTGAACGCAAAGTGCGAGGGATACCTGCCAGAGTTTAAAACACCTTTAGAACTTGAGCGACATATTGCACAGCTGTTCACGATCACTATTTTTTACAAGTTACAGAAAGAAATAGAAGCAGCTTGTTTTTATTGTTCTGTGGTCGGTGTACGAGAGACGGGGACAGCACTTATTACGACATTGATGGTGAGTGCGCCAATATTTCGACCGTGCACTACAAGGTAGGTGGTCTTGGAACGTCATGTAGCTACAACTTGTTCCGAAGAATGGGCCTAGTCTGTCGACATATGCTAGTGGTTTTCAGGGGTGCCCAGTTAGAACAATTACCGCCCGAATACATTGTGAGCCGTTGGTGCAAACACCTAAACTGTGGTGCATGCAGGGGCCTCCCGTCTGATGGTGATAAACCCACACCCGCAGCAACCCAACTATGGACTGAGATAAACATGTGCATTGGGTTAGTAGGTAATAGCCTAGAACGGCAAACACGGATGGTGGCGGTACTTCAGGGTCTTACCGCAGAATTTGCTAGTGACGGTATATCTGTGAACCCGGTTAAGGGTAACCGTGCTGCAATTCAGGCATTATGTGGTGTGGATCCATCACAATCAATAACAATCCAAGCCCCTACCCAAGCAAAAAACAAAGGCACCGAGAAGCGCATTAAAAGCAGTAGGGAGTTAGCCATTGAGAAAAATGTGAAACACGGCCGAAAGTGCGGGATTTGTGGCAAATACACCCGCCATAACGCTCGTAGTTGTCCCTCAAAGTAGCTTGCTGGCAAATTTGGAGTCTGTTTACATTTTTTTTATTTCGTTTTAGATTAGGTACAATTTACTGCAATGTTTCGTGGATTTAGCCAACCAGAGCATGCACCGGTGGCATTGTGCAACACTACAATGTTCTGTATGTAATACGTTTACCTCATTTAAATAGCATTGGTATTTTTAACCCCTTACAATTTTGGTCCAATTTCGTAGCGGGGATCATGTGCTTTACGTTTTCTTTTTGTGTTTGTTTTTTTTCCCAGCAAATATTTGTGATTTTTGATTGAAGCACTGAATGCTGCTAAGTGCAGCATGCGTAACGAATCACGATTAATGTAGAATTTGAAAGCACATTTCTTTGGGTAGATGGTTGAAACTGTTTCCCAGTGTGTAGCTGCTTGTGTAGTAATCTCATTTTCCTATAGAATTGTTAGTTGGGTTGTTTACTATAGTGCATTTGTGGGGCTGATGGTGCACAAAGAATAGTACACCCATGCTACCGGTAGAATGCATCTGCATGGTGCCATTGCTGAATTTAAAGGGCTGCACTGCCTTTGGTTGCTAATAGTATGGCTGTAACGCATAGTGCAAATGGTTAGTCTATAATGCACATCAGGGTTTTGTGGTGCACCTCTGGTTTGTTAGGGGTGTGCTGCCATTGGTTTATGACCAGATCAATATATAACAAAGAGCAACAAGACATTGATAATTACTGAGAAAAGCACCTTCTTTCTCAAAAAATTCAATTAAAAAATTATTGATCACTGATGCACTGCCCCAACCGTACTACTAGACTAAGTATTCAAAGTCTACCACCGACGACGATAATTTAATCAAAACATCCAAGCATACACCGCTGCGCTGCTCAATACCTGCTGTACCCAAAAAGGAAAAACCCACCCAGATTGGAGGTGTACCTACTAGCAAAGATGTATTTACTCCAACACCCCGTAACGATCACCGATGCATCTCTGCCAATCTTTTACCTTCAAACCCCGCGACGCGCGCTGCAATGCTGTTTGTATGAGTGTTAACCACACTGAGCAGGATATTATGCATGTAGCGCTTCCGTAAGTTTAGTAGTTGCATAGCATTCCCCCGCTGCAGGCCAGAATCCCAGCTCGCACAACCCTGCCCAGTGTATGACTCCATGTGCCGCATCGTGAAGACCCCAGAATCCGACGTTGACGTGGTATCCCTCCACACCATCTGCATCCTCTTCGGTTTCATCATTTGGAGGCGTGCATTGCGAAGTCCCTGCAGCTTGGAGTCCAAGTACACACCCAGGCACATGATCTGCACCACACTGATCATTAATAACGATGATAGTAATTTAAGTTAATGAGGGCATAAACCATCGCATTAATATGTAATTAGGCATATAATTAGACACATGACTAATTACATTGGACTTCAAAAAATATTAGAAATGTGAGTGCATACTGTTGGCAGAATGTTAATGTTACCAACACTCATCATACTCTCACTAACCCCTAAATTCCACTCCCTTTCTTCCTCACCCCCAGAACCACAGTTAACGAAACTGCCACGGGTTTGGCACTAATGAAAAAATGAGAAATATATATAGCACTGTGGTGATCTATCAATTTTATTTACTTTAGAGCAAGATTAGATTGTCAAAAGGGTAATGCCTCCGGAGTAAAACAATATGAAATGAAACAAACCAAATGTAGAACAGTACAGTGGCAAACGCAACAAAGGCTGGATTTCCTTAAATTAGAAAATAAACTGTTGATAATTACCTAGTGCAAAAACAAAGTGAAAAGCATATATGTAGCTGAGGTAGAATTGGACAGATAACTAACATTAGCATAACCCTGCCAACCCTGCAATATTAGCATAAACCTGAAGCTTCAAATTACCCTTATGCCCCCTTAGTACTGGTTATTGTGACTTGAATTACGGCTGTTTTTAACAGTTATACTAACCTACAAGTAAAGCTAACACCCATAGACATTGTACCCCCATTAATGCTTTATGTTCACTACTGCAACATCAGAAACAACCAAAAAGTGCACAGCATGACAACATATTAAAGAAAACAAAGCCACATACCAGCTCCTCCGGTGCCCCCCCCCCCCAATACATCTCTTTGTTAGTCTTCTTCGCAGACGAACTGTCGATGATGTCAAATCGGGGATGCTTGAAATTGATAGCCATCATGTAATAGGTGCCCTTGTTGAAAATTGCGAAAACAAACTGCATTGGGATTAAAAAGGAGGATTAGTCGATTGAGGTTATGTGTTATTGCAATTATATTAGCGACTAGGGTACATCACCAAATCCACATCGTCGGTCTGCCCACGGCCCATCCTCCCCAACTCCACATCCATGCGCCTCTCAAACCAAGCGATCCTCGCATCTTCGCTGGCTGATGTTGCATCAACGGTCCCAATCTGCATATTACAATTGCTAATTAGAAGGGCTTAGAGCTCGCAATGCACCATACTGTTCACCTAGTGCACAGGCAGAAGATATGGTATACAGGCAGAAAATATGGTATACTACCATACCGTCGTGCTAGTGGGAAGGAACAGCCGGGTCACGCCACCAGTTGTGCTCACCTTCTCCCGAGCATTTATGACATAGCACCAGGTATCAACAACAGTCCTAGACACATTCGACCCCTCCCTTAGGGTTTGAAATTGTGCCCACTTTACAGTCCGCTTAGCATATTGGAACAAGACCTCATCGCTACGGGATAAAAACAATAATCAGAAGAGAACTAAATCATAGTTACCAATCATAATTACTATACGACCAAAACCCCAAACTCAACTGCATTAATGCCACTTACCGTCCACCCTGGGGGCACCTAAATACCCACATCCACAGAACATACACGTAGGGCAGCAGAGAAGATGGGTAACCAAACGTGGTGCTGAAGTAAATCCCCGGCGACCGGCCCTGCTGAACAAGTGGCTCCTGCACGTGGTGCCGAGCTACTGCCCCCGGAACTGTGCGCTCTGCCGCAAGATGAGATGCAACACTTGCGATGATAGGTTCCTGCAACTGTTAGCCCAAAATTTAGCCTCTAAAAATTTCAGAAGCAGAGCCTATATGCATTAGTATACCTGTGGAGGTGGTGCAGTGGTGACCGGCTGTTGGGCCGTGTTGTTCATCTGGTTGTGTGTTGCAAAATCTTGCGTCAACCCCAAGCTAAAACTTGGCAAATCGGACACACCATAAGTCCCGGTTGCCCCAGGAACTGTGCGCTCTGCCGCAGGATGAGATACAACACTTGCGGTGATAGGTTCCTACAACTGTTAGCCCAAAATTTAGCCTCTAAAAATTTCAGAAACAGAGCCTATATGCATTAGTATACCTGTGGAGGTGGTGCCCGTGTTGTTCATCTGGTTGTGTGTTGCAAACTCTTGCGTCAAGCCCAAGCTAAAACTTGGCACATCGGACACACCATAAGTCCCGGTTGCAGCCAACTCAGCCTGGTCCAACTCCCTTATAAAGTCTTCGTCATAGACTAACGGTCCTTCATCGCGACAAGGCGACAGGGCGGGCGGCTGAGGAGCTGGCTCAGTTACCTTGGATGGCAACTTTACAATACCCCCCAACTGTTTGATTGAGTCCACCGCCCTCTGGAAATTGCAATCCTCTGGAACGCAACTCAGTAATGATCACTGCGACCTCCTGCCTAAACCCCTGCACAACACCGAATGTTAACATGCAGATTCCAAAAACTGTTTCACAAATATGGCTCCATCGAAGAGAATACCACGTTCTCACCGCGAGCATGCCCGTGCGGTGATCCCACCCCCCCCCCCCCCGACCCCTAGTAACGATGCACCGGCCTGGAACGCACACAGAGAAACATCAACCAGACCCCTGCCAAATCCACCCGAATCAAGCGTGCCTTGATGAAATCCGCGGTCCACCCAACCACCACTTGGATCGCCCTTGGGATCTCCCGCACCCCTACCACAACCCTATCTAAATACAAGAGCTGTAATAGAGACATACACAACATTATTAGCTAAGATAAAACACACAGATGCTACGGAGCCAAAATCAATATGCACTTATAGCTAGAAACAGGAGTGGGCCAGTGAATTTGCGAGAGGAAGCCTCAGTCCAACTCTGATGGGTAGTAAGAAACGAGCGGATCAAGTACACACACCAGTCGAGGTCCTTAATTGTATCCACACTATTCAAGATGTGCACAGCTTTCTGGTTTGCATATCCATTGGGTGTGCTCGCAACGAGGGTGGTCATCACTTCAACACTAAAATGTATTTTGAACCATGGACCACCATCAGTCAATTCTCGCATCCGCGTACATAACGCCCTAACTGTAACCCTCCCCCTCCGTAGCTTCACCATGTCCATCCAGTCCCGCAACTCTGGGCTAACCACCTGGCTATCTCGATCAGAGATCGGTATTGGCCCACACGGTAGGCAAAAAACGACGGAGACATCCTCCTTGGTGACAGGAATGTACCGACCATTCCCCAAGTGAATCCTCATCTCAGCCGGGTCAAAATTAGTGACCAGCCAATGCCCCAACCGCAACGGCACCTCAGTAATCTTAAACCCCAGCAACGCACCAAGGCCAATTGCTATAACATCTTCCCTTTGCATCGGGGTTAGAGCTTCCACAAGGTTTGCAACGTCCTTCGGGGTCCCCCGTGTGTTGATTTGGCCTGTGGTTGAACGCTGCACACGCGATGCCTCCATCTCCACATCCTCATCCAACACCAACGGCGGAGTCTAGAAAACGTCATCCTCCCCACTGTCACCGTCACTTAGGTGGACTGGGTGCTGGTCATTATATCCTGTGCACAGCAATGACAGCCCGTAAGCACCAAATAGATTATATAAAATCCAAAATATATAAAATAGAGTATAAGACAATATTTTATGTATTCTAGATACATTTTACGAGGTTGAATTGCCCGTATAATACATAGAAAATAAATGCAATTAAGCTCTAGTAAATGTATATTTATAACATAAGTGCACATAAGCTCAATGTATTCACCATGAATTATAAATAATTTAAGTAATAAGGAAGGGGAGGGGAGTGTGTAAAAATATAAAGGAGTAATATTGCTCCGCATCTTCCGTTTTTCTTTTCCGATCGTGATCGCGATCGTCGATCACCGTCCTACGTCGTGGCCCTCTCTCTCGATCGTGTATTGAGAGAGTTTCTCCCTAGGTCTCTCTAGGGCTTTTTATTGCCATTTTGCTTCGATGGAGATTATCGTATCCTCCTATACTTTTTGTCTCATCCTGCTGCTGCTGTTTACGACTCACCAAGGTGCCATGGATATTCGACAGATTGAGAAACAGTGTGCGGATTTGTCACTGGCTGATGAAGAGATTGGCGGATTGGACGCACCCGATTTGCAGACAATACCCGATGGATCGATTCACTATAATCTGGTTGGTCGCCTCCTCACGGATCGGCAGGTCCGGTTCGACCACTTGCAGCAGGTTCTCGCGTCTGTATGGTGCCCAGTCATGGGAATGTACGTGGTTTCGCTAGCGAACGATCTTTTCTTATTCCAGTTTCCGCATCCGAGGGATCTTCAGCGCGTGGTTGATGATGGACCGTGGTCCTTCGAGAATAATCATTTGATTTTGGAGCAGGTTCTGAGGGGTGTTCTACCGGAAGAGGTGAAGCTGGATTCTGTTCCTTTTTGGATCCAGGTTCACGGTTTGCCTACCATGTATGCCTCATCCGAATTCCTCGCGAAGATCGGGGAGTATGTGGGTGATTTCATTGCAGCCGACCCTTTCAATTTTGGAGGGGCATGGAAGAGCTACCACCGCATCCGTGTTCGACTAAATGTCTCATCTCACCTGAAGCGACGTATGCGTCTAAAGCGGCGGGATGGCACCATACAGTGGATCACGTTCAAATATGAACGTCTAAGTACTTTCTGCTATTGCTGTGGTATATTAGGCCACTCTGATAAGTTCTACAAAACTGTGTACGAGGAAGGCATTCTGCCAGACGCATTTCCGTTTGGCACCTGGATGCGGGCAGGGCCGAGACGCCAAGTTAAACCAATTGGATCGAAGTGGCTATTACAGACCCCTAATTCATCGCCGGAGCCATCTACTCTCCCTCCGGCTGGGCCATCGCCGACTGTTCTGGTGGGACTGGAGGAAGCAGGAGGGTTATAGGGAGATTTGAAGCGTAGAAGGGAGGAAGAGGAATCTGAGGTAATTGGCAGAGATGTATTGATGTCTGATACTACAAAACATCATGAACAGGCGAGTCTGGCGGACCAGGCTCGCCAAGACCAATGAGTTTCATAAGTTGGAACTGCCGGGGTTTGGGTGGCACCCGGTCAGTTCGCGAACTCTTGGACGTCATGTCCAAGCAGCGACCCATGTTCGTCTTCTTGATGGAGACGAAGGCTACTGATATTCGTGTGGAACAGATTCGTGTGAAGATGGGATTTGACTGTAAGGTTTCTGTGGAGCGGTCGGGTCAAGGTGGGGGCCTCGCGTTTTTCTGGAGGGATGTAAATACGGCGTCTTTGTTGAGCTACTCTACGAACCCCCTAGATATGGAGATTACTCTTCCTGGACGGCCACCATGGCGGCTCACGGGCTTCTATGGTGAATCAGAACGATCAAGGCGCCATATTACGTGGGAACTGCTACGCCAACTTAAGGGAAATTCTGTACTTCCCTGGGTTGTCGTCGGCGACTTCAACGACATTGCATGTCTGTCAGAGAAGAGAGGCGTTCATTCTCATCCAGCTTCGTTAATAGAAGGCTTTAATGACGCGCTGGGGGACTATCAACTCATTGACTTGGGAATGACAAGGGGAAGGTTCACTTGGGAAAAAAGTCGGGGTACCGACTCTTGGGTAGAGGAACGGTTGGACAGAGCTGTAGCCACGCTTGAATGGTTGGATATCCATGAGGATGTTGAGGTACAGAACATTTACATGTCCTCGTCTGACCATTGCGCACTCTCGGTGCGTACGGATGGTCGAACTGGAGGGGTGGCGGGTCGGAGTTTCAAATTTGAAGCTGCTTGGCTCTTGGAGGAGGGATGTGCCACGGTGGTCAGTGAAGCTTGGAGGTTGTCGTTGGGCATGAGCTTTCAGGACCGTTTAGCCATGTGTGGTACGCGGCTCTGGAAGTGGGGCAAAGAACATCATCGCCGTTTTGGTAACCGCATTCAGGTTTTACGTCGCACTCTAGCGCGGCTTAAAGAGGATCGCTCAGTTCAGGCGGTTGAGAAATTTACTGCCGCGGAGTTTGAGCTTGAACACCTCCTTGTTTCGGAAGAAGCTTTTTGGAGACAGAGGTTGTTGGTCCCAAAAGAGGTAAGGTGAAAGTCTAGAGGGGGGGGGGGGTGAATAGACTTTCAAACTTTTTCGCACAATATAACAAAAGGTAAGCCAGAGATAAACCAAGACTCTTAACTAGATTGTTAGAGTCCGGTGCACAGCGGAATTAAATAAACGATACGGTGTGTGTGTAAATCGTTTCAAGATTATTGACGTGAGAAGCAAGCAAGAGCGATAAGTAAAGAAAGCAGTAAAGAACACAAGGCAATTTATAGTGGTTCGCGAGGTGATGTAATCCTCCTACTCCACTTGCTCTTTTCTCCAAGAGATAATTCACTATATCCACCACTTCTTGGTTCCAAGATACAATGAATTCCGTGATCTAGTGCTTTGATCACCAAGCCCACACTAATCACGCCCAGTGCCTCCGACACTGCTGCTTCGGGTTTCACGTCGCCGCGTTACTTTCCCAGGATTTCACAACTCCGTGCTACTTTCCCCCCGTCTTCTACGATCCGGTAGAAACGTATCTTCTGTGATCTGGTGCTTTGATCACCAAGCCCACACCAATCACGCCCAATGTCTTCCCGACACTGCTGCTTCGGATCTCACAGCTCCGTGTGACAATCCAGGATTTCACAACTCCGTGTTACTTTCCTCCTTTCCTTTGTTTTGCTCCAAAACAAGTTTTGCCTTGCTTCCAACTTTGAGATTCTGTAGATGATCTTCGTTGATGCGCTGAATCTCTTGAAGTTGATGAAGATTTTAACACTCTTGGATATTTCTTTTCTAAGCTCTGTATCACTCTGAGTGTTTATCTCACAAAAGATATATCAATTTAAGCTCTTGAGATGGAAAGCTTTCTTTGAATTTTGTATGCTCTGTTTAGCTCTGTTCTTTGTATTTTGCTTTTCTTGCTTCTGCATTCCTCAGCTTCAATCTTCATCTATTTATAGCTGGTAATGAGAATCCGTCCGTTGGAAAGAAACGGTCTCATTTTCGAATTTTGCTTAGCTGCATAGCCTTTTGTCAGAAGATAAGATAACGTTGCAGATCTTGTCAGATATTTCAAATTGAGCTTGAGGTTTCAGCAAAAATGGCGTCCCATGAATCTCCATCTGGTGTAGATCACGCCTCTTCTTCTTCTAATATCTTCTTCTGTTTTTCATGTATCTGGGTCTGTATACTGCTTCCAGACTTCATCTCTTCAATTGACTTGGAAATCTCTTCCCTTGTGAAACTTCATCCCTTTCTATTTTGGGAAATGAAATCTCTATCCTTGCTAGATTTGTCAATTGAATTCTCATCCCTTACTTGATTTGGAATTGCAATCTCATCCCTTACTTGATTTGGAATTGCAATCTCATCCCTTCAAATTGAAATTCCCTTCCCTTCGAGATATCAATTTGAACTTCAATTTCGAACTTCAACCCTTCAGATGAAATTGCATCCCTATTTCAATTTCGGGGTTCCAATTTGTTTGGGATACCAATTTGAGAAACTGCATCCCTTCACTTGTAAACTTCATCCCTTAGTCAATTTGGAAATCTCATTCCCTTTGACTTTGCAAATTGCATCCCTTGAAAATCTCAATTTGAGAAACTGCATCCCTTCACTTGTAAACTTCATCCCTTAGTCAATTTGGAAATCTCATTCCCTTTGACTTTGCAAATTGCATCCCTCCCTTTGACTTTTCAAATTGCATCCCTCAAACCATCGCATCTTACTTGATCAGATGGAATTTTAACTTGGCTTCTTTAAAATATGTAAGATGTGAGATTCGAACCTGTGACCTTGCACATAATATTTCAAGCTTCTACCATCTCGTCCGTACAGCCTATTGGTTATCTTCTTGTTCCACTTGGTGTACTCCTTTCTTTCCATAGATGCTTGATCTTCAAGATAGCTTCATGCAAACTTCAAGTCACGTTCTTTCTTCTTCGGGATTTCTTGAGGGATTTTCTCAAATTTCATACGCATACATCTTCCTCTTTTGTTTGCCATTTTCTCTTGACAAATTCTTGATTTTTGGCTTGATATCTTCTTCATCCATTTCCTCAACTAATGAATTTATTTTTCCCTTTCTTAGTCTAAGACTCGACTAATCTAATAAAATAAAATTGGGGATCTACGAATTACAATATGGCTTATCAAAAACTATTACAATTTATTCCTAACAATTTCCCCCCTTTTGATAATGCCATAACCTATACTCAAACATTGGCTTTAAGTCTTTGAAAAATATTTTCATTTTTGCTCAATTTTATTTCGACAAAGCCAAGATGAGTTTGACAAAAATAATTCTAGGGAAAAGGAAAACTCTGTGAATTAATTTAGACAAGTCCTATACGCATCCTTGATTAATTTTTAATCAATTTTTATCTTTATCAAAATTTTGCATGCGTTTAACAACTCTTGTCTTTTGATTCACCAACTAATTACATGATAGCCAAAAAATAAATCATAAACAGACTTAGATCAGACCATGGGAAAGTTTTATTCATATTAGTCGATTTGAGGAAATATTATTGTAGCTAGCCAAAATCATAGAAATTTAAAACATCATATTCTTGAGGAATTTATGCTTGATTACCTTCTGGGTTTCTTGACTCCCATGTCAGCTTTCAATATATCCTTGATATGTTCTCTCATCTTGCAGATATCATTCTTGAATTTCTCACATTCAAATTTCTTAGTCACATTCCCAGCCATGTAGTGTCCAAAGGCCTCTTTAATGTTGGTGCCCGGAAGAGCTCCGGCTTCCCACCAAATTATGCATTCTTCAAAGCTTCTTTGGAATCCCAGACTTTCACCATTATTCTTGGTATAGTCTCTGAGCTCATACCACATTTCGGTTTGCTTCCTTTTTGCTTCTTCTTCTTTATTCTTGTCCGAAATCCATTGAGCTTGATCAGCTTTTGGCCATCTTTTCACCATACTCGGCACATTCTCGGATGTCCAAATTTTCTGCGGTGTTAAGGTTCCTTTTGAGCATTCGAACCAATCTCGAGTTCCGGCCACTTTTGATGAACTTGATCCAAGACTCGGATTTGCAAATTGAGCGAAACCAACTTGGGATTGTTGACCACGTCCTCGTCCACGGCCTTTCGTTGGTGTGGCGGTCAAAACTGGTTGTTGTGACTGATTTCCAATGATGAATTCATGTTGTTGTAAAGCCAGATGATTGAGAATTTCTTCCCCCCTTATGGCATTATCAATCAAAAAGCCAAGGGATTTGGAATCTTGTTCTTGATTGGTTTTAACAATCTTAACTCCATCATGTGTTTTGAGAGAAACATCCTGCAAAACAGACAATTTATTAGCCATGGAGGATAATTCCACCTCAAGGTGATTTATCCTTGTTTCTTGATCTTGTATGGCTTTGATTTGTCTCAGGTGTCTTTCACTGTTGATTTTCTCTGTGGCTTCTCGTTCCTTCTTCATCAGCTGGATGATCTCCAATAAACCTTCAGTGATATCTCCTTTCAAATGTCGTTCGGCTCTTTCAATTTTTGTCTGCAAAGTGTTTTGATACTCCAACAACTCCTTCAAATTTGTTCGTGTGTTCTCAAAATGTTGCAAAGAAAGATGTCCTTGCTCGGTGAGAGTACTTCCAATTTTCTGACACACCATATCACTTGATTCAGTGACTTTTGCAAACAAAGAAACCAATAAATCATCTTCATCTTCTTCTCGGGTTCGGCCTCCTTGCATATTCAAAGAGTGTAAACTCTTGAATAAATTCCTTCTTGAATCTCCAAGAACTGGATTTTCGGTGAGTTGCAAATTCTCTTCTGGTGATTCGGCTTCTTCAAGATGATTTTCCACTTCTTCTTCAATTACCTCTGTTCTTGAAATAAGCTCTGCATTTAAAGT